CCTTGTACTATATTCATCTATAAATAAAGAACCGGTCGACTGGCTAGAAAAAGTTCGACATTTTCAGCATCTCTTCTTCTTCTCCTCTTCTCTGCTACTTAGACTACAGTGGTTCAGCTTACAGTTGTTCCTACAATTCACAGCAGAATGGTGTTGCAGARAGAAAGAACAGGCACATTGTTGAGATTGCAAGAAGCATGATGATCACATCTACAATTCCAGTTCGTTTTTGGGGTGATGCAGTTCTCACAGCAGTCTTTTTGATTAACATGGTGCCCTCCCGTATACTTGGATCCGGCACCCCATTCAGTCTCCTTTTTCTCGAGGGGGAGATGTTCCATATTCCTCTCAGAGTGTTTGGGTGTGTTTGCTTTGCACATATTCTTGGTCCTCATCGTTCGAAACTTGATCCAAAGGCAAAGAAGTGTGACTTCCTTGGATATGTAGAAAATTAAAAAGGGTACTGCTGCTATGATCCAGTCTCTGAGAGTCGGTATGTTACTATGGACGTCACCTTTTTTGAGTCCACATCCTTCTTCTCGAAGAATCCTTCTCARGGGAAATGTTTTGGGGAAGTGAGTGAGAAGTCTATCCCTCTTCCGGTTCCAGTTCTTGTGTCCACTCCTGTGTCTACTCCTTTTCTTCTCCTCTTTTCTTCTCTACTACTGAAACTCTTCACCTTCTTCTTCTTTCTCTTCACATGGAATTTATCTAAAACTGCAATCAGTGATTTCTACTAAGAAAATAAAAAAAGATTTTACACCTAATGGGGATAAGAAGGCCAAGACTTTTGGAGCACGTTCACATCTATTGTATTTGTATGTTGGGGAACTTGGAAAGAAGGGCATACACAACTTCAAGGAAAGTCTAGAATTAGATGCACTAGCTTACCCCCAATACATCTAAAAAGCTTTATTTGGAAATCAACTTTGGTCTGGCTTTAACTTAGTTGATGAACTGTATAGACATGTAAGTTGTATAGTGTRTACTCTTGAGAAACAATTCTGTCTTATTTAATATTTTTCGCTTTACCCAACTGACAACATGACATAAAAAGATTCCTCAAGACAACTTTTTAACTAATCACTACCTTAAAATAAAATGAAACCTATATATAAAATAAAATAAACCACCTAAATTTGTTAGATTTTACAAAATTGCCGCAACAAATCCTATAAAAGGGAGATTGAGTGACTTTCAGACTAATGATACTTTCTTGGAGATAAAGATAATGATACCCATTTTTGGTTTTTGGACATCCTCTAGAGGTGGAATGGGCTAGTGACCTTTTTTCTGCTCCAGTGATGTTATTGACTACTTTCTTCTTGTACTGTTTCTTGATTTTTCTGAAGATTCTGCTACAAAACTATTAAAACAAAACCAGGATGATAAAATTTTGCTCGAATCAGCATGAGGAATCTTTTATTAATATTATTAGGAAACCCAACACAAGGCAGGTTATTGGGTAAGTTTCTTAAGTGACAAATTTGGTTTTCCGCCTCTCTGTTTTTGCATATGGTGTGTGTGTGTGTGTGTGTCTGCATGTGTGCATGCAAATACATCTGTGAGACAGATAGACAGAGAGGCAGGTAAAGAAATGACTTAAATGGTTTTCAAAGAAAAAGTGATAGACAATTACCTGTGATTAACAAACCTTGCAACATTTCCATAATATGTAGCATCTAAACATAATGCTTCTTCATCTTTTAAGACCCCTTCTGAGCCCCAATCAGCATCTAATAATACTGGGTATGTATGTTTCTCATTGCCGCTGCTTCGCATATTTCTCTCATGTAACTCCAAGTTTGTTAAAATTTCCCCAACATATTCACATACAAAAGCACCTCTCGGTAGGTCCTCAAGGGTACGTAGACCCCACCCTTTCTCTTCAGATGTCAAGAAAACCTGAAATATTAAAAGGTTATCAAATTCCCGTAATTCAGAGATGATATTTAAACCTAAATTTAAACAAGATATATGTGCCCTACAACTAGCTTCTGAAAAATCATTTCTGCCTCTATTAAGTTGTATTTAAAAAACTTAAACAATACATATATAATTTTTCTCAACAGGGACTTGTATATAATTCATTATTCAGAAAAATCCTTAAATTCAAGTTGCCATAAAAGAATCAAAAAGCAAGATACAGATCTAGAGTCAACTAACAGTTGCATGTAAGATCCTAAGGACAAAGATTGACCTGTAAGTTGCGTGTTATGCCACGTTGCACTACTCGGTTGCCACATTGCTTATTGCAGCCACATTTGCTCCAGCATTCTTTAATAAATTTCCTCACTAGATGGCCCTTGCATGGGTCAGGTAAATCCTCATTCTTGGACCTTTCCAGAGGGCAATCCTTACAATAAAAGAGGCGATGTTGCTGGGGGTCACGGTTCATAGAAATTGCTTTATCCAAAAATTCTTTCTTAACTAGACCTTCTAGAGTGTAGGCAAACTCCCCTCCAGTTTCCTGTGCACATGCACAAGGTATGGATGATGACAAACAGTCACCCAAACAGCTTGAACAACAATCTTCATCTGCAACCCGAGCAAGTGAGAAGCTCACATACCCATTTTGATAAACAATGTTCTGTGGTATGTAAAAAAAGGTTGGTGGATACTTCTCATTGCTAATTTCGTTTACAACTGATATTTTGACTCTTTCTTCACCCTTGGATATGTCATTGACATCATGAAGGGGCCTGATATCATCAAGAGAAATGTGGTGTTGCTGAACCACCACCAAACTACGTGAATTTGAATACTCTAGATCTTTCGGTTCATTTTTCTTCATACTCCTTTCACCATTAGAATTCCCAACAAACTTCTGGTTGCATTTCACGACATGGTTAAGGCCACCCAAACCATTCAGACCAAGAAGCTCTGATATTCGGGGTACATGAAATGCAATAGAAGAATGCAAATCTAGAGATCCATTTGAAAAACTTGCTGGCAAACAAAAATTGCTGGAAGGGTTGCCATTGGAACCCAATGAATTTTTCATATTATCCTTTGATGTTATTTTGGTTAATCTTTGTTGTTCATCATCAGCAGAATTAGTACCCAATTCCAGAAAGCACTGGCACAATTCCTTCATCAGGTTCATCACAGAAAATCCAGGATCAGTAATCCGGTAAGTTTTGAGACATTTATCTTCTACCATCTTTAGAACTGTATCTAAATTTGGCATCTGAAAGTCTTTATGTCCAACAGCAGAGCTACAGTTAAGAGAAATTTTGACCTCTCCCAAGGGTGACGAAGCAATTTCAAAATTAGCAAGAGATTCCTCGTCGACATTTGTAAGTTCAGAATTTGTTCCAGTCTTGCATGCTAGGTCTGAAACAACATCTTGGTCCATAGCATCCACATTAGACATCATGGGGTCCAATCTTTCTGTTTCTGCAGTAGAATGATCTCTAACCAAAGAATGTCCATTACGTACAGGATCTGGGATAGCTATAAAATATAAAGCTAGCTGGTTAATATTCCATTCTTTTTTTTTTCAAATCGAAAATAAGGCATATATGGATCTTATTCTGCAGAATAACAATGACAAATTACTTGCTATTTTTTGTCAATAATAATATATAATATTATCGAGAAATGATGACACAAACAGTACTTCTAGAAATATACTATGTAAGGTAAAAGCATACAGGGGAAACAATACAACAATTATAGTTGTATCTGGATCTCCCACAATAAGTTCACAGCCAAAATATTTGCAAGAGGAATATTTTCACCAAATTTTGTAATGTTTGACTGCAACTTGAAGATAAATTTGGAAAATTGGGTCATTGACTGAACTCCTAGATTTTAGACTTGTGCGGAGGAGAGAGACTTCCATCATTCAAAAGGTTTCTTCAATGTGACTTAAGGAGACAGTCACCTAGTAGAACTCTTAAAAGGAAAATTCATGATCTCATCCAACACTCCAAGTAAAATCACTTGTTTTAGAAAGGATGCAAGTCATTTTCCCCATTAACACTCTAGTTTTGAATAAAGTTGTCTTCCCTTAGTTTTTTTTTTTTTTTTGATAAGTGGTAAAGATGATTGTATTAATTATAAACTATAGAGGAAGGCAAGAAGCCCTCAATCATGTACAAAAAGTGTGCCTGTAAACATGCATAGAAATCAAAATATCAGAGATGACCAATTATCAATAAATGACTAGATGGAGTTCCCTCAAAGTCCATTAAATACCAGCCCATTTTTCAGAGTCCATTCCACCTTGGTAATGACCACCTCCAATGGAGCACATTTACCTTCAAAATTCTGCAATTCCACTCCTTCCACACTATCCAGCAGATAGCGAAGGGAACAGCTCAGCAAATGAGTGAGGAAGAACCCATCGAACCTGAAATAGCCTTAAAAATGGCACCAGATCTCGTAGTAGGGGGCAATGAAGTAACAAATAATGAACAGACTCTGAAGCCAAACCACATAGACAACGCATAGCATACACCTCCATATCCCGCTTCACTAAGCATCCACACAGCCTGAATCCTCTCTTCTAGCAAGCTAGACAAAAAATATAATCTTGGAAGGCACCTTAGATTTCCAAATCCAAGACGATGCAACCTTATCAAAAGGCCCCAACAGAACATGGTAGCAAGATTTGGTTGAAAACAGCCATCTCTTCTCCCCAGACCACAGCTGAGCATCACCAGATATAAGTCAATCTTCACCCCATACAGCCTGCCCAGTAAATCCTCAAAAAAAGTCACTTCCCAATCATTTAGGTTTGCACCAACCTAGGAGACCAGCCCGCTTGGCCATTAAACAGCTCCACAAACTCATTAACTGCCCCTTGTTAGAGGCAATGGCAAAGAGAGGAAGGAAGAGCTCACAAAGGCCAAAACTCATTCCAAAAGGAGATATGTTGCCACCATCTCCAATTTGCAAACGACATAATAATCTTTTGTGAAGGTTATGATTTGATGGAGGTAAGGAATCTGAAGGATTTAATAATCCACTTTGAGAAGGTCTCAAATTTAAAGGTAAATTTTGAGAAGAGTTGTGTTGTGGGAGTTCACTTGAACAGAGAGGGGTTGGAGTCTATAGCAGCCTTCCTGGAATGCACCTGCACTCAATGGCCTCTATCCTACTTAGGACTTCCATTAGGTGCAAATCCAAAGGAAAGTAGGTTCTGGAACCCGGTGGTGGAAAAATTCGAAAAAAGATTGGCAGCTTGGAAGAGAAACTATATTTTCAAGGGGGGTAGAGTTACTTTGATTAAAGCAACTTTAGCCAACTTGCCTTTATACTTCCCGTCAGTATTTAGAATTCCTAAAAGAAAGGCAAAGAGGTTGGAAAAACTAACGAGGGATTTCTTATGGGATCCTGGTGAAGAGAAAAAATATCACTTGATGAGGTGGGAGGTGGTGTGTCGGAGTAAGGAAGGAGGAGGGCTAGGATTAGGGAATGTGGTGAACAAGAATGGGGCTCTTTTAGGTAAGTGGCTTTGGAGGTGGCCCCTGGAGAGGGAGAGGTTGTGGCATGAAGTAGTGAAAAGTATCCATGGCTATTCCGAATCAGGTTGGGATGCAGGAGTATCCCGAAGGGCTTTACTCACAACACCTTGGAAGGCTATCTCTGGCATTCTCCCCAAGTTCCTCAGTTTTGTAAGGTATGATGCTTGCTCTGGGAACTCCATTCTTTTTTGGGAAGATACTTGGGTGAGCTCTCAACCCCTAAAAGGCTGTTTCCCTTCTCTCTATTCCATCTCCCTCTTTAAAAAGAAACCCATTTCTTGGTTCCTTTTTTTTTTTGATGAATAATAATAAGTTTATTGATTCAGATGTGATTAATTAAGTATGAAATACAAAAAGAATGCTAATCAGGGTAGAGGAGAAGAAAGAAGAGGCAGTAGCAATAAAATAAGAAATGAAAAAAAAAAGAGACCTAACAGGCACAATTACATAATCAGCCCACAAACAGATAAGAATAAAGAAAACAGAACAGAACAGGCCCATATTTCAATGAAACTGGATAAGTTATAACAGTAGAAAAGAGTAGTCACATTGTTTTTCCTCCAATAAGTACTAATTAGAAAAGCTCATCACCACCACAATCATAATTATGGTATACAAGGTAACTTAGTTGCTTCCAAGATCACAATACCATAAAGAAAACCATCATAGTTGACCTCACCTATGCTTGAGTTTAAAGCATTTACATGCCTCTAACCAGTCCTATAAATTGTCAATCTCATTGCAAAAGCATATAACGATACAACTCTTTAAGTAATCATTTGTTTTTCAGCTTGCGATGGATCCCCACTCCTCTCATCAAATACAACTGAAAAACAAAGTATATATATTATCCAAGTAGAGAAATACTCTACCTTCATTTGTCAGGAAACCTTTGTCAGGTGGACAGATAGCAATTGGAACTTCAAACTCTGGCAAGTCATCAGTGAATGGCTCACTTTTAGGCTTCATTAAAACAGGCATGGGCTTCTCTTTGGGCAAAAGAATAATTCCTGGCTCAACCTTTGGCTCTTTTAGGCATATAGAACGAGTCGGGCTTTCAGTGAGTGATCTTTTCTTCCTAGGAGAAATTTGGGGTGAAACAGGTTCTTTCCCTTTGTTYCTATGATGCATTTGAGAGTTGACATCAGATTCAGTTCTGTCACGGAAAGATGGCTGACATCGCTCTGCTTCTCCCTGCTTGGGACAATGTTGAGTTGAAGGATATTCCTTTCTCTTGTCCCTAAGATGTGTCTCAGGTGAGACAGATTCAGGTTCAGATCTTTCATCTTCAAGATGCACATGAGAGAGAACTGTTCTTTCCTGCCTCGAACTACATTGAGGCGAACCAGTGCCTAGTGTTAGCTTTCTAGATGAACTTTCGCCCATTGTCAAACAAGAGCTAACAAAAGAAGATGAGGCCTGATTATCTTGATGTTTTGAACGCAGCCTTTTAAATGGAGGTTCAGACTCATTATGCACCAGACTTTCTTTGGCCATATCATCCATTCCCTGGTAAACAAAGCCAGAGCGCAACATCAATTAGAAACTTCAATAGAAGGGTCTAAGAAAAACAATGAAGTATAAGAATAGGCTACATACATGAACATTCTCAGCTCTCTTATTCTTCCCTTCTGCGGCCTAAAAGGTAAGACCAACAAGTTTAAAGAGATATTAGGAATAAAGGATAAGAAAACAAGATAGACAGCTCAGAGTGATATAAAAAAGAAAAACAATCTGTACCTTAGTTTCCTCGTATTCAAATATGGCATCTGCAAGAGCTCTGTAGTTTTCTTCTTCAATAAGTTCCCATTTTTTATCATACAACTTCAATAGATTTTTCAGGATAGGCCTCACAGTTTCTTCGGGAATACCCAAGACTTTCATAGCATTAAAGGCCTTTGCCGCTCTAGGGGTAGGTGCCATTTGTGGCACAAAATATAGAGTAACCCTGATGATAAACTAGCTCACCACCTGACGACACTCTTGCCCTTCGGGTTCCTATACTCCAAATCTGTACCCACATTTGAACGGACTTATAAGAGGAAGGGAAGACAGCTATTTAGATATGCTAGACTGGGACATAATATAGCACAAATAAAAAGGTTAAAAAAAATGAGGTGATAGAGGACCAGAAGTAGAAAATAAAAGAAGAAATCTCGTCACCAAGAGCTTGAAAAGAAAAACTAAAAAGAATTAATAGGAAATAACTTGCAGAGAAAGCATTAGTCATTGATAGGAAAATGAACCATCCAAAATCTTCAACTTCAGTCAACTCAAAACCTCCAAAATGTTACAGAGTAAGAGCCAGATGAGAGAGAGAGAGATGCAAAAATCTTCTTCCAACTAAAATGATTAAACCCAAAAAAGACGACCGGTTATGCAAAAATCTTCTTCCATTAGGAAGAACAAATACAAAAAAAAAAAAAAAAATCCTCCAATGGGAAGAACAAACAAATGCATAAACCCTGCAAAACATGCAAAATCAGCGCCGCAAAATAATTGAAAAAAGAAAATCCACTAACAAACACTGCAACAAGAATCCCCAAAGAAATAGATGAGAGAAAGGCGTGGCAAGAAAAATATAATAAGAGACAAAATAACGCCGAGCTTAGCTTTAAACTGGAACACTGAGATACTAGGAAGAACATGCAAGGACTCTCTATGAGACCCATTACGTGTAATATAACAATGAACTCCTTACAACCATCAAATAACAAGGAATAAGACAAAACAGTCCACATTATACAAATCTCAATTCTCAAAAGAAGTACAAAAGCATAACCCTCCAAAAATCTTACTGAATTTCATCTTCTAACCACTAACTTAGTAATAAATTAAACAAATGGCATAATAGAACTCAATAATTTTATAGAGATTCTGAAGTAACCCAAAGTAACTTCAGTGCCGAAGTTGCAATGTACTTAGTAATGTACACAATCTTCAGAAACTCATCCCAGAAAAAAAAATGCATAGAAAGAAACTTCTGCCATTAGTTTCAAGCTCAAGCTCCAGGAAGCAGAGATAGAGACAAACCCAAACCAGCGATTCTGGACAGAATTTCAATAAGAAACCCTCGAAAAAGACCAGTGAGAAACAAATTAGTAACAGATACAAGCAAGATATGTACCGCATTCCCCAAACGAATTGGTAGAGGAAACTCGAAAGCTAGATCAAACCCAGCGAAGCGAACCACTCGAAGTAACATAAAAAAGTTGCAGACTTGAACAGAGAGCGTGAGAGAAATTGCATGCGAGAGGGAAACATTGCGAGTGGAAGTACGAGTAGACAGGGAAAGGAGGAATACGTAAAATATGAAATGCCTTTTCAGTGTCTCACCTGTCATCGCTCGCGGTATGGAAAGCGTAAATGCGTTTACGTATCCCAGATCTTTTACCGTTGGATCCATCATCGGTCTCGTCAAGAAAATCGAGAGCCATCTAACGGCTTTAATTATCCYAAGTAATAAACATCCTAACCAAATCCGAAGTATGGTTGATACCAGATATCAGTGTTTCCATTGACCCGACCGGTTGAACCGTTCGAACGGTCACCCAACCAGGATTTTGGGTCCGATTCTACTAAAAACCTATCAGCGGGTCAAAATTGTTGATTTGTCAAAAACCGTTCAATTTAATTAGTTCAACCGTCAACCTGGTCACTAGGTCGCAGGTTGCACATTCAATGCATGCAAACATTCGGTTAATCGAATTGTTCAGTTCGGTTTTGGTTTGATGTTTTCAAAAAACCAAAAGTTTCGATTCGGTTTCAGTTAACTATTTAAAAAATCCAACGATTAACCGAACCAATCGATATATATTTTTATATAATATTATATTTTACTCTTTTAAAAAATAAACAAAAAATCGCCAATCTGAGAGTGTTCAAACTATCGAACTGAGAGTTGAGACAGGTTCGCCAGTATGAATCGTTTGACAAACTAACACCCGCTAGCCGCTGCGCATGCCTTCTTTTTCTTTCCCTCTCTCTCGGACTCTCACTCTCTTTGAACTCTCTCTCGCCTCTCAGTCTCTCTGAACTCTCTCTCTCTCTCTCTCTCTCTCTCTCTCTCTCTCTCTCTCTGTGGTTCTGGCCTTTGGCGCTCCGCCCGCCGACTGATTCACCGGCGGCCTCCGACACTGGTGATCTATGACACTAGAGGCTCGACCTGCGGGTTAGAGGCTAATGCATCTCGGCGACACTGGTGATCCCAATTATCGTGTTTTTCCTTTTCTTTTTAATTTTAAGGGCATAAAAAATCAAAAAACCGAACCGCGGTTAATCAATTGTATCGGTTCGGTTGAAAATCATAGCTCCAGCGCGTACAGTGGGGTAGGTGCTAGTTCAGAATCGATGCCAATACAATGGCAGGTATTGGTGTTTGAAATTTTGAATTATTATAGGTCTATAGGGAATTTAGAATTCTAAGGTGGAGTGTAGTCTACTTATCCCTTTCTTTTTTTTATTTTGGGTAACTTTTCAAGATCTGAGTCCCAATGAGCCATAGGCTCTCCCCCCCACCACAAAAAAAAAGGTTTGCCTCAAATCACAATTTTTTATATTTTTTAAAACTAAAGGATTAAAAATTGAATGAAAAAACATAAATTAAATATAAAATAATATATATAACATATTTAAAACATAATATACATTATTTATTGATAAAATATGTATTTGTACACACACATATATATTAGTAAAAGTTGTGTGTTGCACATGGCAATATCAAATGATGACTATGATAATAGTCAGCAACCAAATGACCTTACGGGTTGAACCATTAACCTATTTAACCAAGAAAATGGACTATAATTGACATTAATTCATTTTTTCTTTGTATTTTAGCCATTTCTATATTTACTAACAATGATTCTTATTTTTCAAATATAGTTTTGTTTAATGTGAAGACATATAATATCAATGCATGTTCAAATTTTTTTATAAAATTTATAAAAAAATTATATATTTTTGATTAATTTAATTTATGAGAATAATAAAAATTACTTATTTACCAAGAACAAATGCAATTCCAATATATTGTTTGAATATTGGTTATTAATACTGTGGTCAAATCAATTATTTATATGTATATCATTTATATATAATATATATGTTATTTATTATTTATTTATAAATATGCTACTTATATTGCATTTTTGTAAACTTCTTATATAATGAAAATTCCTTATATTTTTTATTTTTCTTTATTTCAACTATTATATTTTCTTTTCCTTTTAATAATTTATTATTTTTTAAATTAAATCGAGTCGTATCAGATTTGAATATTTAACATATTGATTGAATTCATATTTGAATCAATATTTATGAGATCCGATCAAATCTTTGGATCAAATCAAATTCAAATATACCATGATTCAAATCTTATCTGATCTATTTGAATCCCTACTAAACCACTTGCCTACAATGACCTAAATAATTAAATCATTGAACCATTTGACATGGTTAGTGGGATCATGTGTTAGACATTAATGCTCTTTATTTTTTATCACATTTCTATGAATAATGAAAATAATTCTCATTAATCACATTTTTATATGATGAATATATCATATTATAGAATGTACCAAAAATTTATGAGGTTTTACATTTTCTATAATTTTATGTATTTTATTATTTAATAATAACATCATGTGTTGATCCATTTGACATGGATAGTTGAACTACTAACCCACCACTAGGATGGAAAATCATTTTTTCTTTTTTGATTGATTTTAAATCATGTTTTACATTTTCATCATTAATAAAAGTAATTATTATTTCWGTATTTATTTTTGCACGTGGCATTAACAAATGATGATGATAATAATAATTAATAACCAAATGACTTTACTCATTGAACCATTAACCTATTTAACTAGGAAAATGGACTATGATTAAGACATTAATTCATTTTTTTCTTTGTATTTTAGCCATTTCTACATTTACTAACAATAATTCTCATTTTTCAAACATATTTTTGTTTAATACGAAGAATATATAATATTAATGTATGCTCAAATTTTTTTATAAAATTTATAAAAAATTCTATATTTTTTTTATTATTTAATCTAAGAGATAATAAAAATTACTTATTTACCAAGAGGAAATGTAATTTCAATATATTGTTTGAACATTGGTTTTTAATATTATGGTCAAATAAAATATTTATATATAGTACATATGTTATTTATTGTTTATTTATAAATGTGTTATTTATATTGCATTTTTGTAAACTTTTTATATGATGTAAATAGTTGAAAAAATACTTATATTTTTTTGTTTTTTTATTTAAATTATTATATTTTTCTTTTTTCTTTTAATAACTTATTACTTTTTTTAAACTAAATAGGATCGTATCAAATTCGAATATCTGACATATTGATCGGATTCAGATTCAAATCAATATTCGAATATTTGGATATTCAAATATGATCGAATATTTGGATCAGATCATATTTGAATATACACTAATTCAAATATGACCTAATCTATTTGCATCCCTACCAAATCATTTGCCTATGATAACCTAGCTAATTAAATTATTGAACCATTTGGCATGGTTAGTCAGGTTATGTATTAGACATTAATGCTCATTATTTTTTATCCTAACTATTATCCCATTTCTATCGTTAATGAAAACAATTCTCATTAATCACACTTTTTTATATGATGAATATATAATATTATAGAATGTACACAAAATTATCACAAATTTCTACATTTTCTAGAATTTTATGTATTTTATTATTTAATAATAACATCCATTCAGCATAGATAGTTTAACCACCAACCCATCACTTGGATGGAAAAACCATTTTGATTTTTCGGTTTATTTTAAATCATGTATTCCATTTTCATCATCGATACAAGTAGTTCTTATTTTTACATTTATTTTGTTTAATACGGTGAATATATAACAATATAATTGTATCAAAATGCTTTATACAAAGCTTATATTTTTCGTTGAGTTTATATGTATGTATGTATTTAATATTTGTTACTTAGTTATGACATCTAACTTATATAATTAAGTTAAAGCATTTGGGGGTGTACCATAACCCCATTGCATCCGATATGTGTCACCTGAAATGGCTTTCTTAGCCCTTTATGAAACCTCCACCAAGCATGGCTTCCTCCACAAGCCTTTTCTTACAGACTAACACTTGCATTAGACACGTGTCCTCCGGAATGGCTTCCTCTACTAGCCTTTTCTTAGAACAACGTAAAGCGAGCCTTTTCTTACACAAACTAATAGACACAGACGTAAAGTGAGCATTTTCTTGCGGTGGAAGAGCCTTTTCTTCAAATTCCGATTATGTCCGACCGGAAGAGCTTACAGTGGAAGAAGTCGAATGTTTAAGAATAAAAATTCAAAGCATTCGTTTTTTCTTCAGATTGCTTGTGCTCGATTGGAAGAGCTTACAGTGGAAGAAGTCGAATGTTTGAGAACCATGCCTTCTTGGCCCACCACCATTTCTTCCTTCTCCACCAACGCTCCCGCCACAATCTTATCATACCTGCCTCCTCCGCTGTAAGGCGCGTGCAACTCATTCAAGTGTTGCCCACTTTAACTTGTCATTGTCGGAGTATACGATGTCGYAGTTAAAGGATTGGTTGTCGTCACCGTTGGCCTTGACGACATCGTGGTGGGCATCTTCATTGAAAGTCAAGCCATTATGATGAGGCTCTAAATGCAACTTTTGAGTCTCGACTGTCACTTGGGTTATTGGTGGATGTGATCAAAATCTTAATATCGGGGGCATTGCCCATCTCTTGCATGATTTGGTGGCAATGGCCGCAGGGCATGGAGGACCCGATAATGTAACGGAGTTGGGTCTCACCATTGATGGCGGCGATGATGATCATGAATTGCTCGGCATGGACGAAGTGGTGGAGGGGGAGGCCAGGGAACTCGAGGTTGATGTCGAGGAAGATACGACCATTGGATCCTAATCCAACGACTCCAACAGAGTAATTCAAAATGGTAGTCTATGGAGAGATAGAGAGAGAGCTTGCTCTACAGTCATTGTTGTGGCGTTCCAAGGAAGGAGACGATGAATAGTGCCATTGAAATTTGGGTTGGTGTGCAAAATTTAAGAAAAGAAAATTTTTGTTGTTACATTGTTTTTGTAATATATTTCTAAACGTATCTTATTTTTTAGTTTTTTTTTTTGTAAAAACCCCAATAATTTAAACATTTTTTAATGCAAACGTCCAAGTTGAAGAGCAAAATCAGCCCTCATAGGAAAACAATATTCCTTCGATAGTACAATAAACTTTTATTTATTCATTTATTTATTTTATTCAATTTAATAAAATATTATCTAAA